CTCGGAGGCCCCGGGTCGCCGACGGCTGCGGGTCAGCGCGCCTCGGACCCGGCCCTGCGCGGCGGCGGCTCCCCTGGCGCGTCCTCCTCAGGACCTGAGGCTCCGAAGCCTTTGAATCCGGGAACCATTGGGAGAGGAAAAGACAACCCTCACGTGGAGGACACCGGAAGTCCCGCCTTGACATCTGTCACCGCCCAGAAATTCCGGTCCTGGGCATTCATTGGCCTAACCGCCCACCGGGAGCGCATTGCCCTCTGGGTAATGTAGTTTCCTCAGCCCACGAGGCCTCAGTGTCCCAGGGTCTGACCCAGGAGATTCAAGGTGCTGACGGGTGGACGTGGCTCAGCGGTGGAGCAGCGACGTAGGACTCAGATCAGTTTGATTCCCTGTCAAGGCACATGCCCGGGTTACGCGCTCGACTCCCAGTCCCGGGGTGCAGGAGGCGGCGGATCAATGAGTCTCTCATCATTGATGTTTCTTTCTCTCTCTCTCTCTGAAATCAATAAAGATATATTTTAAATAAAGAAAGAAAATAAAAGGTATTGAGGCATCCCTGGCCTGGTTTTTCGGTTGGTTAGAGTATCCCCTCAATGTGCCAAAGCTGTGGGTTCAATCGCCAGTCATGGCACACAGAAAAATCATCCAAAGAGTACATAAATAAGTAGAACAACACGTGGATGTTTGTCCCTCTCCCTCTCTGAAATCAATAAATAAAAGTCAAATTAATAAAAATATTAATGGGTTATTGTTTACATAAAATTGTTGACTATCTTGATTTGTGACTATTTTAAATTGTATTACTCATCCTAATAACAATTTCTGTGTTTTCAATAAAAATTCTATTTATATAATTATATTTTTTATATTTATATTATAATCAATAATTATATTATTAATCCCAATATCGATTCAGTGTTTCTCAAGTGTATAACAATTTCAGTTGTTGATCACAGAAGTTGAAATATACGGCACAGCTGCTATTCTTGTCATACTGAAATGATCCTGACACAGAGCTGGTGACCCAAGACGGGGCTGTCCTGCATGTGGTTTTTTTGCTTCTCGATGTGAAAATGTCCTCACTTCATCAGGAGTCACTGAAACATCAGTGCGTCTGGAAGAAGGAATGGTTCTCCTGAGGAAGTCTCTCCTAAAATGTTTCTGAGTTTATTTTTTCATTATTTCATGTCACTTCCACAGGTCTCGCCCAAGTCGGACCGGGTTTCTGTTTCTGCAGAGCTTTCTGAATGGAAAATGCACGACAGCTGTTGTACCAGCGGTTGGTGCTCACCCTTCAGCAGATTTCAGAATATCAACTTGTCTCCCTAACATCTTCCAGCAATAGCCTTGTCAGTTATTTGGGGACTTGGTCCATTGGATGAAATCGGGGAACACACAGGCTCTGGGGCCAGAGATGAAGTCTAAACCCCGACGGGAGTGCGCCTAAAGGCCTGTGCGAAGTGCCCACACCCTTCGGGGTCTCCTCCGCCCGAGCTTGCAAGCACCCCAGTTGAGACGTCAACCAGGTTAGAATGGGGTCTGCACTTCCCCCTGACACCCCTAGTGGGCCCCTCCAGATGCGACCTCAGATCCCACGTGACTCCGCTGACTTGAAGCACAACTCTTCAAGGAGGAAAAGAATTGACCAGGTCGCCTCAAGAAAACAGGAATAAAGAGAACCTGGAGCTTTCTTCAAAATAAGGGACGATCTTGGAAATTTGGGGGTCTCTTATAAGGACACCACAGCCCACTGCAGAAGGCCAGATGGGATGAATGCCCAGGGATGGGGTTCAACCAAGCAGGTGGAGAACGGAGGGGGGGACCCCTAGAAATGACATTATTGGGAGTCAGGGGAGCACACAAGCAAATGGCATGAGGGGGTTTCATTAGTGCGTTGGAACGTCACTAGGTCAGTCAAGGGGAGAACCAGAAAGGGCACCTGTGCCAGGGGCCAGCCTCATCACACCGGTGCAGCTGGTCATCCGGGTGGGGTGCTCACAGCCTGTTTAGGGCGATGTTCAAGCAGCAGAAAAATACGGTTCTAATCATTTACAACAGTGCGTCCATCTGCTGCATTAGAAGCATCTAAAATAACAGAAAACTCAACCGAAAAATCTGGGCGCATCCCTTTTGGAAACACCCAAAGGCCTTCCCTGGAGCTTCCGTGAGCCCCTCCCCAGCGTCCCTCCCCCGCCCCGGGGGGCCCTCAGCTCCTGGAAGGGGCGCAGCGCCCCCCAAAGGTCAGATGCAGGGAAAACTACATTTCCCAGAGGAGCTGCGCGCCCCGCCCGGAGACGCCGACGGAAGGGGCGGAACTTGCCCGTCTGGAAGGGGCGGAACTCCCGGGACCGGGGTGGCTGCTCCGCGGTCGCGTGGCGGGTCCGTGGGCATCGAGCGGG